ATATATTATAATAAGTGAATTGTCCTAAGACTTACAATCATCTGCGTGTTGTCCACAACCAAAGCCTACTGAGGTAGTGGATCCTCGGCTCCATCACCTCCATGGCCAATACCATCACAACGGTCATAAAGTACAACAATCCAATCCATGTAAACCCCATAGTCTGGAAGATTATAAGATATACAATATAGAAACACATCAAGTATTAAAAAAAGAAATCCTAAAACGGGGACAACCCGAAATTAACTTCTAAATCAATTTCGGACATGTATTTCTAAGCTCATGATGATTAAAACGAAGAAACATAAATGAATATAACTTTAGCATAATCTTGTTATTTATAGCATCTTACTTTTCCATAATTTTTTATTTATGGCATTTGATTTTTTTTAATTTTTTCTTCTATTGCAATATACTTTAAATATTGTATTGTTTTTTCTATTATAGCATTGTACTTTTTATATATTTGTTTTTTTTCCCTATTATAGCATTGTACTTTAAACAATCATATTATGATGTTTTCTATTTTAGTATTGTACTTTAAATATCATTGTGAATTATATCATCCTACTTTTTTGTTTTTTTTTCCATTATAGCATTGCACTTTACATATTATGTAGTTTCCAGGGTTTTTCTAACTAAGTCCTTAATAATTAAGCCCTTAAAAGTTAAGCCATGTTCTAATCAAATTAACAAATCTCTAAGGATATGCTATTTCACATACATACGAGTTTGCATACACACATACACACATACACACACACACACACACACATATATATATATATATATATATATATATATATATATACACACACACACACACACAAACATTCGTTCTTTCATATAGTATACAAACATATATAAATGCACATATACATACATATTTATACATAAAAATACACATATTAAAATACACTTATACATACATTATAATCACAAATTTATATTTTCACTATAAATATATACAAATATACATACATAAATTTATATTTTCACTATAATATATACATTTATACATACAATGTTATACACATTGTAACATTCGAGATTTGTTATGTTTCCTTTTTAACCCTTAGTACAAAATTTCTATCATTTAAGTCCCTAGCTGGTACGCGGGGCGTACTCTATGAGTACGCTTAGCGTACTAGCTCATTTCAAGATCGCAGGTTCACCCACGTACGGAGGGTGTACGTGGGAGTACGCATGGCATACGTAATGCAAGGGCAAATCCTAATTTTTAGGGTTTGTGCCATATTTAAGAAACTTATAACACCCTTGGACATTCTATTGATCAGCTTCCATCACTCTATACCCTATTATCGAAACCCTAAGTGTCATTTGTGAGTTTTGAGCTTGAGAGTGAGTTTTGGTGGTGTTTTTGGTGAAGTAGAAAAAGAAGAACATTTGGAGGTTGCTTGGGAGTAGCTTGAGCTTGTAGATCCAGAGTCATTTTCTCCTTAGCAAGTCATTTGTGGTAAAAAGCTCCCATCTTGATGGTTCTTTATGCTAGATCCAACTTAGGATGTTATTTATGCATTTTTCAATCTTTTGAGATATATTTGGGTTTATGGTCTACTCCAAAAGCCATGGGGGTTAGATCTTAGCACATTTGAGGTCCCTTGTCCATAAAAATGCAACCTTTATGAAATATCTTGGTCCATGCATGAGTTAAGTTATTTGTTATGGTTATTTTTAGGTTTTGGGCCTTATTAAGTCATGCATAGGAGTAAAGTTGCCAACTTTACGTATTATGTCATTTTCTAGAATCAGATCTGAGAGTTTGGCATGTTAGCTTAACCGATCAAGTGCTTAATGAGTGGGTTTGGTAGTCTGAAGTACGCAGGGCGTACCCAGCTCGTACACTGCGTGTACTGACACTGGAAGGAGTACACTAAGCGTAAGTCTGAGTACGCCTAGCGTACTCAGCTGTTTGACTTTTGGATTGACTTTCGCGGTTTTGGGCCATATTTTGGGCTTTTAGTGTTTGGGCCTTGTTGGGCTATTGGACTTCTAACTTTGGGCCATGGATGGACTATTGGGCATTGGGATGCCATTTAGGAATTTGGGCCTTTTGAGTAAATGGGTTGGGCCTTGGTTTAGGTCCAAGTAAGAAAAGGGTAAAATGGTCTTTTACCCTGAATGTTGGACAAGTAATTTAGATTCTTGATTATGAGTTGAGATCTAGTTATTAATTGGATATTATTTGATGATGTTAGTGCGGGGATTTACCGGACCAGCAGACCGAGATTTTATCTGATAGATTCATCAGCCTGAGGTGAGTTTTCCTCACTGTGTTTGGCGGGTCGAAGGCACCAATGTCGGCCCATGGTTTGTTATGATTAGGATGCTAGTTGTTTACGTGACTCTTGCATGTGTTATGTGTTTATATGTATATCGGGTGGGGCCCGATGATTATATTGTATGCTATTTTTCTTTGTGATACTTGCATGTGTTTATATGTTTGTATGTATACTGGGTGGGGCCCGATGCCAGGCGGGGCCCGAAGACTGACATATTTGTTCCGGTCGGGGCCCGATGCCGGGCGGGGCCCATTATATGTTTGATATGTACAGTATGCGGTATTTTGGGGAACTCACTAAGCTTTGTGCTTACGGTTTTCAGTTTATGTTTCAGGTACTTCTGGTTCGAAGGGGAAGAGCCCAAGATTATTGCAGTGCACACACCGATATGTTCCGCATTTTATATGAATCTGATTGTACGTGGATGTTATTTGATATACTCTGTTTTCACACCGGTTTTACGATATGGTTATGGATAATGGTTTTATTAATATAAAAATCAAAATTTTTAGTCTTAATTTTTGGGACGTTACACACATATTATATACGTTTATACATACATTATATATACAAAGATTATACACACATACACGATCAATATGAAGAACTAGACTAAAAATACTACAAGAAATTGAATAAAAAATGTGTTGGTATGAAACCAGAATGGTGGTGGTGGAAATCTGACAGCGGTGATGATACTTGTTGTGAACAAGACAGAAGCAGAGGAACAAGGTCACCGGTGCTGAAATCAAAAAATTAAACTCCGGTCGATGGCACCGAAGAGAAGAGAAAGAGAAAAGAGGGGATGAGAAGCACCTATGGTCGTCGAATGTGGGGATCACCAATGATGCAACAAGAAAGAAATAGTGGCGATGAAGTAGTATTGTAGGTTGATGATTGTGGACGTAATCGGTAAAAATTCGAAGGTGGAGACTTGGGCTCACATTTAGTCTTTTTCTTTTTATACACTATATACCATCTAACTTGTTGAATTATTCACATATTATATTTTATTTACGGTAGCATGTCACAAGAGTAAAATGTAAACATGTTCAACAAGTTTGATGATATATGATGTACAAAAAAAAGTGATTAAATGTAAACAAAATCAATAATTTATTATCATCATAAGTTATTTTCCCTTTTAAAAACTGACATTTTATATTACATAAATAAATCTTTTACAAAATTACGATTTATGTTGTATTGCTGAATTATTAAATGAAAAAAAAAGAAAAAAAAAACACTTTTCTGGTAATGGAGTTAGTAGTTCATTAATCCCGTAGAAATTATATGTACAAAAGTAATTTTATCATTTAAAAGTGTTTATATATTATTATTACTAGTTTATAACCCGTGGAAACTACGGTTACAAAATTAATTTAAGTTTGATAGCAAAAATTCATAATTATTAATCAATTATTTTAAATAAATAATTTTAAATAAATTATTAATTAAGAGATATACCAAAATTTTAAAGTTAGTTATAACTTCAAATTTAACATATAATTAAAAAGTAAATGTTTCTATAAAAAGTTTAAACCGGTCAAAATAAACCGGTTGAACCGGTTAAACAGAATAAAAACACATGAAAAAGAAACATTCACATAATAAACCTTGGTGATTTTTTTCAAATCTATTTAGTCTTTTCTAAATAAAAACATATGGTAAATGTTATAATTTTTTTTGATGTGTTTGTATTCATCTAAAACTATATTTCTTTTTGATATTATACTTTATTTTCTTTTTGACGTATATAGATTGATGTGAAACATTAAAACTTATGGTTATGTGTTATTTTAATGTATTTTGATTCATCTACAACTTATTTTTATGTGTATTTTTAATGTTTGAATTTATAAACATCAAATTCATAATTTATATATGTCTGTATGTGTAGGAAAACAGAACAAAACATGAAAAATATAGAAACATGTTCACCCGGCGGTCGAACCGGTTAAACCGGTTGAACCGGAAACCGGTGACCATACCGGTTCAACTAAAAAACCGGTTTTTAAAACATTGTTTAAAACCTTAACTTTATTAATTGTGATAATGATTTGTCTAATATATCTTCTTGACACATATCATAATATTAATGTGATGTTGTATTAGAGTGACAGATGACAAAAATAGATTAAAACTATTCTTTTATTAGTATATGGATCTTAAAACCCGAAATTTACAAATCTAAGAAATTAATAAGGTTTCATTGTTTTTTTCCGATTCCAAAATGACCGTCTGAAAAAAGAACAACATGAATTTATTTATGTACTTATATTTAATACTAGTATTTTATAACAGTTTAATTGACGACAAAAAAAAAATCATATTTGGACAAACGTTTACACTTATGCCTAATTTTATGTCTAATAATTAAAACATGTTTAAAACATATTTATAAAAACCATTGAAATAGAATAAACTCAACAAAGATCGTATATTAAATTTATCAAATTCGATATCATTGTATGTTACTACACATGCATTGATACACAGGTGAAAAAAGACTCAAAGTTGCATAACCAAATCCACTAATTGTTTAAACAAAGATAGTGGAGGGTTGTAAAGTGAACCTAACCCATACTTATTTTTGTTAAACAAATATTTAATAATCGATAATATATAAATGATAATTAAATATATTTAAATATAGAAATATAAATAGTCATATATGACCGCCTTACAAATTCCTTTCAATCCTTTTCGAGCTTCCCCAGTCTTTCCTCCTTCTCTCTTTCACCGTCTGCCTTTCATTCATTCATATACGTTTCACACACACACACACACACAACTCCAGAACCCTCTTCTCCATTAATTCCTCAATTTTTTTCAAAGGTATTTTTCTTGTTTTTCTCGTTTTTCTCCTGTGTTATTCTATCGCCTCTGTTTTTCTTGTATGTAATCTCATCGTTGAATGTGGGTTTTTTGTTCCGATATACGGTTATGATTCAAAGGGTTTGTTCTAATCCCTTTTCTCTGATTTGGGTTTCTGGAAAACAGGGTAAAGATTGAAGATTTTAAGTTCAATTCGACCAAAGACATGGTAATTGACATCTTCTAGAACTTGATACAGAGTTAGTTACCTAAAGATTTTGAAGTATTGCATCTTTTTGTTTAATTGGTTGATGATGATTCTTCCTCTGTTTTGTTTTAATTCGAATGCATAATTAAAACACTGTTTTTTTTTATTAGGTGAGTCCAATCGGTAAAATGGAGCATCAGGAACTCGGTCCGCCATGGTTGATACCAATGCTAAGAGCTGATTACTTTACCACTTGTCGTTTCCATGGAGATGCTAATAAAAGTGAATGCAACATGTATTGCTTGGACTGTTGTGGTAACTCTCTCTGTTCCTACTGTTTGACCCATCACAAAGATCATCGTGTTGTTCAGGTAAAAATCATCAACAAAATTCGTAACACAATTCACGCCCATTCAGTGTTCGACGAAATGCCCATCTAACATAATGTACTAATTCTTCGAATTTTTGTTGTGGCTCATCAGATACGAAGATCTTCCTACCATAACGTGGTTAGGGTGAACGAGATTCAAAGATTTCTGGACATTTCGTGCGTACAAACGTACATTATCAACAGCGCAAAGATAGTGTTCTTGAACGAACGACCTCAGCCTAGGCCTGGTAAAGGTGTCACCAACCACTGTGAGATTTGTGGCCGGAGTCTTGTTGACGCTTTCCGTTTTTGTTCCCTTGGTTGCAAGGTACAGACTTTTCTAATTTCTTCCCTTTTGATTAAATCATTCGATCATGATGATTGATGACTGATGTATGGTGGTTTGACTTTGACTTGGTCAGCTTGGTGGGATGAAGAGAGGTGATCGGGATTTGAGCTTCACTCAAAAGATGAAACATGGCCGGGAGTTTTATGAACCAGAAGAACCGGTGACACCTAAAAAGGTCCGAAGGTCACATTTATTCAATCAGCTTATCGACACCAACATGTTTCAGTTCAATCTTTATGGGCGTAATGGGTCTGATATGTCGTGTTCCTCCACCTCCGGTGATGAAACCCCCAACATGTCTCCGGGAACTCCACCCATATTCAACCACCGGAATTCCAGCCGGAGAAAGGGCATTCCTCGCCGGGCACCTTTTTAATGGTCTGTGAAAGAAAAAGTCAAAAGCAAGGTGGTTTACTGGTTTAATATTTAACTTCCATACCTTATTCATGGTTATGGGTTCAAGATCGTTCTTATACAAAGGTGAATATACGTGTGGACATATAGTGTAGTTTGTGAAAAAGGTTATATATATATATATATATATATATATATATATATATATATATAT